CATAAATCCAGTCTTTTATTTTGCCATAACATATAAATATATCAAATATCAATAATAATTTGATTTTTTTTTTCACAATATCACACCTACTGGTCGGAAAAGTCCCCTCCAACAGTCTTGAAATGGGCCACAGGCCACCAGTTGATAATCACAGTTTTAGCAGGTTTTGCAGCTCCATAGACATTTTATTTAGTGTGCAAAAGGGCAGAAATGGCTCTTTAGATCATAAAGGTTGCAAACCCCTGTTCTAGACAGTAAAAGGGATGAAAGACACATACTTATCATACAGTACAACATCGGGGAGCCAGATTCTGTCAGATGGAACACGGATTGTTGTGATGCCCAGAAAGTCTTCAGGACTCCATCTGAGTTTCATGTCAGTCCACTCCTACAGAAGAGAGGAAATAAATTATTTACAGGACAAAATAAGCAGTTTTATTTATTTGCATTTGCATCATAGCTGTTATTAAAAAGTTAACCTTTTTACTTTGGTTTCTGTACAGCCTGTAAGCTCATTACTTGATCTCATGCAAAGCGTGAAAGAGAAAACAGATAGCTTCCTCAGATTATTTTAATGAAAATGCTAAACCTGACTACTAGCAGCACTAATAAACCAACAGTACGTATTCTGTATAAAACATGCTATGCAAGTGGAACTACTGATTTGTAAAATACATCTGATTTAGAAAAAATATGTTATGACAGAAAATATGACAAACCATCATGTAGGAAATTATAAACTACCAACTTTTTATTATAAAAAAAAGTGGCCAGTTTTGTAAATGACATCAGTGATGGATAGATATCATTGCAAAGGCCACTGCCTTTCAATTTCCTTTTTTGCAGGATGCCATTTATCACCTGAACAGAAAGCACTGAAAGCCAGTGCCTGGTCTGATAATTTATTAGATGCATGACAGATAAGACATCCAAGTCCGTGTAGAAGGATGACAGGAGTAGGCGAAGGGGGAGAAGTGGGCATGAGGAGGCAGGTGTATGGGCACAGGGCCAAATGGGCTCATATAGATGAGAGCTGTCACCAAAATGTCACCAGACCTGATTAAAAAGTCCTGTAGAGGGACAAACTGTGTCCACCTGTCATCCAAGATAGAGGCCGTCTCAAAATGCCTTCACAGGCTTTACAGGACACTGATCACCAAATATGTGTACCTACATGTTTACAGATCAATTAAAGGCCCAGAATTCTTTGAAGGAAATACGTTTCACCCAACACATTTCATGCTATAGTTTTGGACCAAGATCATTTTATGTTGAGAAAGATTGTAGCCATGTTGGTGAAACCTTAAAAAAAAAAAAATGTTCTGGATGGTCTAATGCAATACTGCATGTTTTCACACTCAGACTACGAGTTGAGTGTCTCTGATCTACCAACACACCAACTTTGAGCTGAATATTAGCACAGTTGACTGAGTTAAATTGTAATTCACTGCAGTAACCATCTAGAACTGAACTGACTCCAAAAGCCAATCATTTGCAGGTGTACAAGTAAGTAACAGCTCATGAAAGTTTCATAACCATCCACCCATTTTGAATTAGTTTGCTAACAAACAGATTAGTTAACAGGTTAACTCCATCCGTTTATGCTAGTTTTAAACAAAGATTTCATGCAATATAGCACTTGGAGTATGTGCTGTGAATGATTCTCAACTACAACCACATCAAATTTGAGCAAACTGTAAAACCATCTGATCTACTGCCATTCATAAATGTTTTAAAGTCTGCTGACTGTGGCAGCCATCTTTATTTAGGTTGGTTCCTGAAGTTCATCAGCATTAAAGGTATTTCCTGAAAATTTTGAATAAAATCCTTTGGTGATTCAAGAGAGATTTTACTAACAGACAGACAAAGTTCACCCTAATTGATTTGATAAACCAAATATATTGCACTATTGAAAATATGTGTTCATTGAAATTGTTCAGTGGTTCGTGATATATTTCGGTAACAAACATGCACAGACATGGGCCAAACATTATGATTCACCTTTGCCCTTTGGTGCTAAGCATCCATCCATCCATTATCTTTTACCCACTTCTTCTATTGGTGCTAAGCAATAATAATAAATAAAGTTATGTGCACAACTTCATATTTCTTTACTTGCCTGTTTCATCCAAACATTGGTTGTCATCAATTGATTTTTCTCATCCTAGAATGAAAAAAAAAAAGTTTTCAAGAAATTATTGGCTCAGAATGTACCCATTCTGTGACTGGATTTACACTTGTATCATCATTTACTTTAGATGGGCTTACATAAACCTTCAAATAATTAAGCACAATTTATCCTCACCACATCAACAAGTTGGGAGATGGCCAGGCCAAACCTCACACGGATGGTCTGGTTTAGGTGCGCCACAGGGCGAACCCATTTCTGATAGTTTTCGAAGAGATACTTGAAGAGCTTGTCCTCTGCTTTCGCATACAAGGAGAGCTTTGGAATCCCTGAAGAGACAAAAGATTTAGCGTGTAGAGAGTTTATTCAGTAACCTTCTCCAGCCTTCCTGCAGTTTTTAGTTGCAGAGGTTCTCAAGGTGACCTCTGTGCTAAGGTTTCCATTTCAAGAGACTAACAAAAGATTTGATAGAAGTGCACTGAAAACAAGATGTTCCAGTAATCAAAGGAGCAACGTGGGAGATTTAGTGACATTGTAAAATAATACCAAACTGAAGCCCTGCTTCACCCTCCCCTAAGAGAAGCTGTGGTGGTTCTTCAAAACATACAAAAATACCCATCTTGTATGACTTTTCAGTTTGTCTTTTGTGAGCTAAGACATAACTTGAGTAAATTATAGATAGCTTTAAAGTCAAGTCAAATGTGTAAGGATGGTACTTTTCTGTGGCCCGGTTTGTGTCTGTTTCCCTCGTGCTTCCTCGTTAGTTTCCATTGTTGCCACCTGTGTCTCGTCCCAGCTGTTTGTCATCATGTCTCGTCTTCTCCCAGTATTTAAGCTGCCCTATTCTGTCTTGTCCTTTGTCGGGTCGTCTTCGTTGGTACTCTCCCTTGGGTCTCCTGAGTCTTGTCCTGAGTCTTGTCCTGAGTCTTTCCCTGAGTCTTCCTGGTCCCTCGAGTTCCCCGTGTCTCTCTTGTCGCCTGAGTTCCCCGTGCCTAGTTCATGTAAGTTTTGCTGCTCCGTCAGCTTGTTTATTTTGTACTTTTACCATTGCCTCCTTCCTTATTCATGTAAGTTTTGCTGCCCCGTCAGCTTGTTTATTTTGTACTTTTATTTACCATTAAAACATATTTTTTGTATATCTGCCGAGTTGAGTCCCTGTTCTGCACTCTGGGTTCGCTCTTAACCGCAAACCATGACAAAATGTATTTATAAAGCACATTTAGGCCAGCAGCTGTTACCAAAATGCTTAACAATAAGATCAAGATAGTAATTAAATAAAAAAATAATAACAAGATGTAATTAAAAACATAAAAAAATAAAACCATAAAAACACAAAAACAATGAGAAACAATAAAATACTAAGTCACACTGTGTTAAACTTCAGTGACTACAGATGTGTTTTTAAGAGATTTAAAAACAGGGAGTGAAGTGGACCGTCTAATGTTGAGGGACAGATTGTTACAAAGTTTAAGGCCAATGACTGAAAACGCTCGATCTCCTCTGAGCTTCAGACTGGTTTTTGATACAACCAAAATCAGCTGATCAGATGATTTCAGCACCCAAGAAGGAACATGTAGTTCCAATATGTCAGAGAGGGTATGAGGCCATTTATGTACTTAAAGGTCAACAGGAGAATTGTAAAATCAGTTCTGTCACGCACAGGGATACAGTGAAGGGAGGACAAAACTAGTGAAATGTGCTCAAACCTATGCGTTCCTGTTAATAGCCGAGCTGCAGCATTTTGGACGAGCTGGAGACGTGAAAGGGACACTTGACTAACCCCAACATAAAGCGCGTTACAGTAGTTCAGCCAGGTTGTAATGAATGCATGGACTATTTTTCAAGGTCAGATCTAGTCAACACGGACTTAAGCTTAGCTATCTGCCTTAACTGGACAAAGCTTTTTTGTAGAACAGTTATTCTGTTTATTAAACTTAAAGCCAGAGTCTAAAACCAACCAAAGATTCACAACAGATCGCTTAATATATGGCTAAGAGAGTCAAGATTTACAGGATCAGAGACAGTAGGGTTAAACACAACTTCAGTTTTCTGATCATTAAAACTTAAAAAATGTGAAGTCATCCATGCCTTGATGTCATAGAGACATTTTAACAGAAGGTGAATGGAGCAAGAACTGTTAGGTTTAAAGTGCAGAAAAAAATCTGACAATCATCAGCATAACAATGAAATGAAAGACCATGTTTCCTCAGGATAGACGTCACCCCAAAGGGAGCAGATAAAGTGAAAACAAAAGAGGTCCAAGAATTGAGCCCTGTGGGACCCCACAGGAAAGGGGCACTGGCGCAGATTCACTATTTCCAACCTTAACACAGAAATTCCTATCACTTAGGTAAGAATGGAACCATTCTAATGCTGCACCAGTAATCCCAACTCAGTGTTCTAACTGTGATATAAGGATACTGTAATCAACATTATCAAAAGCAGCGGTAAGGTCAAGGAGTACAAGTATCGCAAACTGACCAGAATCATTTGCTAACATAATGTCATTTCAAACCCTAACTAAAGCTGTTCCGGTGCTGTGTAATTGTTTAAACAAGACCAGTGCTATTTTAAAATATAAATTGACTGCTTTAAGTCATAGAGAAAGCCTGTTTTTTAAGGACTCTAGATAAGATTTTTAAAAGAAGTTACAAAAACTTCATTTTTTTTTTGCCAAAGCATCCACTTAACAAAATACACATTGTTGCAACAAAAATGCGCAGAACATTAAATATGAAAGTTTTAATGTCACTAGCAGAATTATTGCATCGGATACCCATCAGCTAGCCACAAAAAAGAGCTGGTAAAATATATGTTAAATGTTTGCACTGCAGTCTCTAACAAAGTGTCATCAATTGGCGTCTGAATGACTGTATATATTTTTAGAAAATGTGACACTATACGGCTGTCAACTAGAGAAAACTCAGCAGGTTTGTTTTTGTCTGAGCTGAAGTCAGCTAAATACCATAAGATTTCCAGCAAATTTTCAGGCCTTTTGTGTGAAGATGTTGACATTCAGCATATATAGTAACCAGATAAAACTTTGAAACTGTACGTGCAGTGAAATCACATTTCATTTAAACTTTGGAATGTAATGACTGGATGATGAACATTTTTAGAGAATGAAGCTTCGCAAATGGTCTCACTTCCAGACTTTGGAAGGATGTCAACCCTATTATTTAAGCTTGTTGCTTTCCTGTAGCAAGTCTTAACTGCACTAAAATATGATGAATGCATTAAATACATTTAAAATGACTTCACACAAATGCATTAATCCTGCATCATAAACCAGCCTTGTAACAGACTCAATTTATTGCTTGAAAATGTGGCTGGAAATCTGTAACATGACTAAGGATTTGAGTCACTCTCTCAAAGTGTGGATCTATACACGCAGGACTCAAAGACCCTCAGTCAACGGCCGTGTGATCAGCAAAGACATCATCTCCTAGTCTTCTTCTGTAATGTGCCTGAATAACAAATGGATGAAAAGCAAGCCACATATTTTATTTTTTTATTTAGCCTTTATTTATACAGGTAGTCTCATTGAGCCACGAGAACTCATTTTCAAGAGAGACCTGTTTAGGGAGCACATGGTGGGGGTTAAGGGCCTTGCTCATGGGCCCAGAGTGGGGCGAATGAAGGTGGGGGCAAGTGTGGGTGTTTCACCTACCCCACCCACAATTTTGATGTTGTCGGGGCCGGGGCGTGAACCGGCGATATTCGGATCACAGGCCCACCTCTCTAACCTCTGCGCCACTACTCCCCAAAATATAATCTACTGGTTTGGCTTTTCATCACCAAGAATTTACAACTGGAAGACACAAATATGTAGTTGTAAAATGTTTAATAAGAAGGACAAGAAAGAAATTTACAAGCTGTGGAGTCATACGTATATATTGAGATGACACGTTTCTTTTTCTTCATCTGCTCCCTTCGTCAGAGATTGCCACAGCGAAATAACTCGCACGAAGACTTGGAGATTGTTTTTACACCTGATGTGCTTCCTGATGCAACCACAGAACACCGAGCTACCACAGCCCTCTGTGTGGAGCAGAGAGCTGCCATCTAGGGCGCCCAGGGGAGCAGACGGTGGAGGTTATGGGCCTTGCTCAAGGGCCCAGAATGGGGCAGATGAGGGTGGAGGGAGGTGTGGGTGTTTTACCTTTCCCTTCCACATTTTGATGTTGTCAGTACAGGGAGTTGAACCAGCGACCCAACTTTTCTAACCTCTGCACCACCACCACTCCCCCATATGTTGAGATGACACTGATTGAGTAAAAACAATATGTAATGTTGACTAGTTCACTCAGCGTTGTGTTCATTATTGTTTTTGTTTGTTTGTTTTTACTGTAGGGTGGCTGTGGTCCAGCGGTTAGAGCAGTCGTCCTCCAATGCAAGAGTTGGGGGTTCGAATCCACCAGCAGCCACATGCCAAAGTGTCCCTGGGCAAGACACTGAACCCCTCATTTCCTCCAATGTGTGTCCTATCAGTGCATGAATGTGATCTAAAGCACTGATTAGTCTCTTTAGAATGATTTTGTTGTATAGTTGTACTATATCTTTGTAGAGATATAGTATAGTGCTGAATGAATGGGTAAATGAGGGAACAGATTGTATTTTAAAGCACTTTGAGTATCTTGATAAGATAAAAAGGCACTATATAAGTACAGTCCATTTACCATTTATCGTTGGAATGAGAAATATTAATGACACAGTAGAGCATTAAGATCAAATTCACACACACACACACACACACACACAAAACAATACAATAACAATATTGAGCTGCAGATGTTGAGAGTTTTAAGAATAATAAATTATATGGAACACTTGACTACAAGGAATCAAAATGTATATCATCTGAACCAAAAAAAAACAAAAAACTAAAGACTTTGATGAATGAAACAAAAGACTAAATACAAAGAAATGCTAAATTCTTGTGAAAACACAAGTGAAAAATAATGAACTCATACAAACACATGTGAATGCAATTACTATAACTACATTTTTTTCTCCCTTTTAACCCTGTTTATTTGTATGATCAGCTCAAGACATGTCCGTTTAATCACAACTTGTTCATGAAACATTGTTTCTTACAGTCTTCTTAAGGACCTCTTTCAGATGCCTTGTTGTCTTAACAATGATTTTTTTTTTTATTTCTGTATGCCTTTCTGTCAAGTCATACTCATGTATTTAAATGACATTATCATTGCAACATTAACTTCATATCAGGTTCTAATTCAAGGTGTGCAGCATTAATTATTTTCCCACCTTTTCATTATCTGGGGTCTTATTATTGTTATAAAATACTAAAGCTCTGGAGACATCACTACATTACTGTTTATTGTCATTTCCCACAACATGTGTAACTTGTTTCTATTTTTCTGTTTGAGTGATTTTCCACCAGGAACTTGTCACATAAAAAAACTCGACGAGGCATTACTTGTTCATATTACACTCACGCAGTGAGTGGCACAGGTGGCACGGGCACAGCAGTGGAATCAGCAGCAGCAGTCTGAGGGAGGTGGGCGCTCCTCCTGCTCCGAGCATTATATCAAAGTTGGCACTGGACACAAACAGCTGGTCCCTGAGGCATCCCAAAGCTGAACGATAAAACACAGTTATTGTTTAAAAAAAAAAAAAAAAAAAGACAAGAACAAAAATGATGTATAATGAGAAATAAACAGCACTTTAAGGGTGATAGCTTTGAAAAATAGCTTGGGGTTAAAAATTTGGTTTCCAATGTTGTCATTGCCTTCGTAACACGCTTTGATAACACACCTTAAATAAGACGAAGCAACACCCTGCACAAAACTAAAATGCCCTCTACCTTTACCTTGCTATCAAGACCCTTACAAAGGTAATAAACCATGCATGAGAATTCAAAGGCTGTGCACGTACTTGCTCTGGATCTCTCCCATCAGCACAGAATCCAGCATGGCAGTGGTTGTGAAGGTGGAGGGAGTCTTGACAACAGCATCAGTGCTGCATCGCTCTCCTCCATTCCACGCAGACTCTTGTTCTCGCCTCTCGCAGACGCTGCTGTGCTCCCTGCTGCCTCCAGCTGAGCACAGGCAACACATCCTCATCTCCCCCCATCTCGCCTCCTCCTCCTTTTCCCTCTTCAGTGTCCGCTCCAGCCCCTCCACCCAAACCGACAGCATCACTGCACTTAGCTGACAAATCTAGTCACTAACCACAGACAGGAATAGCCGCTCCCCAGACGTAGCCACTCTGCTGCCTGAAAAACAGCAGCCAATGACAAACTGTGATTCAGATTTTCCTGATGGTTTGCAGGCGATTACCAAGAGATTCTGCACATCTGGCTGTGGTCATGGCCATATATGTGGAGTGGATTTCCATAAATTTTATATTTTATACTAGAAAAATGACAAACTGTAAGAACATGTATGTCTTAATTGCACTCTTAGGGAATTAGGAGGAAGCTCATCTCTGACATTTCTTGATGTATTTCAGTTGAGTGTATGCAGGGGGACATTTTTGGTTCATTATATAACAAACAAAAGCAGTAAACCTTTCACCCGTGTTCATTTATTTCTAAATTATATAACCTAAATACCACTGGTGTAGTCTATAATTACCTGCCAAGTAATTTGGCAACGATCAAGTCTTGTTATCACCCACTGGCAAAGGAGGAGCGATAATATTGTTGCCGCTGTTTGTTGGTCTATACTTTTAGCAAAATATCTCATGAACCATTGGATGGATTTTAATGAAAATTTTAGGAAACAGTCATAGAGTGAACGTCTACAAATTTTTAAAATTTGGAGTCAATCAAATTCAACATAGCCACCACAGTGAAGCAGCATTTACCAATACAAAAACCTTTTTAACTTGTTCAGTTTTGCAACGGTAATAGCTAAAGGACCTCATTAAGACATACAATGAGTGTTAACACGTACCTAGTGGGGCTGAGGAACATGGCTGTGACAATTCTCTTGAATTAAAAATGGTGTGCAGTGTGCATTGCCTTAAAAATGTTAGGCCTTTATTTAAGCTTTTGGTGCATTTCTTGTAATAAAATCTGTACCAAAGATCAACAAAGTCCATGCTGTACAAAAGATGTTTTAAGCATCACATAGGCGCATTCCATTAAGTGCCACTTTTACAGAAAATGTTCTTTAAACCATTAACTTTACTGGCTTTAACCTTTCAGCGTTGTGGTGTTGCTGGTGTCTATCTCCTCCAGTCATCATGCCCTGGACAGGTCACAAGTCCAACACAGTACATGTACAAATCAATGAACCATTCACACCCACTCTCACACAAATTAATTTACTAACTAACCTAACATGCATGCTTTTGTTTTATGGGGGAAAATCAAAGTTCACAGAGAAAACTCATCCATGCAGACAAGGACATGAAAAGACCACACAAAAGGGCTCCAGGCCGGGAAACCACTGGCGACCTATGCTGGGAGGTGACAGCATGAACAACCGCATTGCCTTATTTTTATATTCGTTTTATCTATTTACTTAACTGATCATGTGTTTTCAAGGTTTACCTCACTTGATGACAGTTGTAACTTGCTGCATAATGAAGACTTCAATGAGTGATACTGGCTGCTGGTGAAGCTCCTCCCATCTGAATCGCATAACTCCAAACTAACGATTGTTGTCTTATTGTACACCTCCTCCCATTCGGTAGGTTATTTTTTCTGTTGGGAGAAACAAGACGATCCACACAGTAAGTAGCAAGACTTATCATACAGAATGGATATGTGTACGTGCCAAATTAACAAATTGGACGGTAATAATTATTGTCATGTACTTATTTTTTCAGATGAGATCCGTCAGTTACTGCAGTGCTTTGCTCCTGCTCCTCCTGATTCCCAGTGTCTGTCAAAGTGGAAACATCTTGGTTCTACCAGCTGAAGGCAGCCATTGGATAAACATGGAAATTCTTCTTAAGGCTTTGCACTCCAGAGGACACAACATCACTGTTGTACGTTCCAGCAACAGCTGGTACATCAAGGAGAACTCTTCTTACAGCACCATCACTGTTCCTGTGGAAAGAAGCTTCTATCAAAACTTTATTACCAAAGTTATATTTGACCTCATACAGTTTGAACGAGGTGCTTTACCTTTGACAAGCTTTCTTCAGGCAAGTGTAGGCCTGCTCACCACTTTCATTGAGATTCACAGAGCTGTGGGGGAATTTGTCTCAGCACTGCTGGAAGATGCAGAATTGATGAGAACATTAAAAGAGAGCAGGTTTGACCTGGTTCTTACTGATCCCGACTGGGGCCATGGAATTATTGTGGCCAAGTATTTGAATCTTCCTTTGGTTTATAATGTTCGATGGTTAATATCTGAAGAAGCTCATTTTGCCATCGCTCCTTCACCTTTATCATACGTTCCTCTAACAGGATCTGTCTCGACTGATGAGATGACTTTTTCCCAGAGAGTTAAAAACATGATTTTATATTTTATTATCCGAATCCATGAATTTGTGGTGAACAAAGACACATACCAACCGTTATGTGATAAATATCTTGGGCCCAATAATGACTTTGATCAAGTTAAAACCGACGCAGACATTTGGCTGATGAGAACTGATTTTGTGTTCGACTATCCTCGTCCCACAATGCCTAATGTTGTGTACATGGGAGGGTTCCATTGTAAATCTCCAGAACCACTTCCTGAGGACTTGGAGGAGTTTGTGCAGAGTTCTGGTGAACAGGGAGTCATCGTCATGTCTCTGGGAGCTTTTGTACATCAACTACCCGATGACTTGGCTAATGAGATCGCTGCAGCGTTAGCTAAAGTACCCCAGAAAGTAATCTGGGCCTATAAAGGTAAAAGACCAGCCTCTTTAGGAAACAACACTTTAATGGTTGACTGGATGCCACAAAAAGACCTTCTAGGACACCCCAAGATAAAACTTTTTGTTGCTCATGGAGGAACAAATGGAGTCCAGGAGGCAATTTGTTACGCAGTCCCAGTCGTGGGTTTGCCCTTGTTTTTTGACCAGCATGACAATCTGCTCCGCCTGCAATCAAGGGGGGCAGCTAAAGTTCTGAATCTGGTTACAGTCGACAAAGATGATAACTTCCTAAAAGCTCTGCAGGAAGTCCTCAATGAGCCCTCCTACAAGATGCACATGCAGAGACTTTCCAGACTGCACAATGATCAGCCGATGAAGCCGATGGACACGGCCGTCTTCTGGATAGAGTTTGTCATGAGACACAAAGGAGCTGCTCACCTGAAAACACAGTCCTACAAAATGTCCTGGTATATCTACCACTCTGTAGATGTAGTCCTCTTCCTCACTGCAGTAGTTCTGCTGATGATTTTAACTACGGTTTTATTTCTCAAGTGTTTATGTAAAGCAGTTTGTAGAAGCAAGGTAAAACGTGACTAATGTATATGTTTGTACATTTTGTCACTACATGCAACAAATTTAGTCTCTTACTCATCAATGTTTATAGATGCAGTGGGAACAGATAATTATGTAGGGGGAAAGGTTAATTATTGTAAATGCTTGTTTATGAATTTAATTTTGAAGGGGCACCACTCAGCTTTGAGAGAAAATGTGTCAGAACGTCGGTCTCACCAAATGTTATTATTTAATTACCTCAAATTAACCTTTCTACATTTGTTCTTTTGTAATGAAAATCTCAGATGTCATAAATTAAACACACAAACTTCAATGAACAAATTTGTGACATTTATTTGGCTATATATGGACAAATAACTATTGGAAATTATTGCTTACATTTAAATGATGGCTTTGCTTGACAACCAGAGTTTATGGAAATTAACCTTGACTTTTAACATAAGCTGGTTAGCAAAAACTACCAGGTAAATGGAATTATTCAATGTGATTACCCAAAAGAAATAGAAGGCCCAAGTAGTAAATGTAATATTCTGAAGCTATTCAGCAGGGCAAATTTAACCAAAAGGGAGACACTTTGTTTATGCATCAATCCAATGGTTAAATTTGGATCTTATATTTAAGGGAAAATAATTACTGAACTGAGTTAATACTAATTTGTGGAAATTTAATTTTAGAGGACATCAAAGATCATACTCCAGAGTAATAGACCTCTTTCTCCTACCCTGGAGACGACTTCAACAGCTGCCGTTTGAATACCAGATATTAGACTCCCTCTCTCACTCTGCTTAGATGGTCTGTGACGTGACGGTGGATGTTTCTTTCATGCCCCCTGGGCATCAGTGGCAAGTCAGAGGCCTGGTCACTGGCTCCAGTGGTCAGCCAACAGCTGTACTTCTCCAGGAGTTCTGGGTCACTGCTATTCTCTCTGGTGATGGAGCTGTAGGTGTCTCTCTGAAGTGCTGAAAATGGTTTTATCAAACTTGGCTAAAACTGAAACTTTCTGTTTTATACTCAAGCTTAGTTAGGTTGTTTGACTTCTTCCAAAAGCTCCCTACTCCTCCTTCCTTGAGATCCCCCTTTTGACTTCCTTCTTCAGAGGTCTCTCTTAAACTTCCTCCCTCTGCGGAGGTCTTTCTTTGATTACCTTCTAAACAACTTTCTACAACTCCCCTCCAAGGGAGGAAGCATATTGAACTACCCAATTAGGGAACAGGATGGACGTTTAGCTTTAGAATTTATTTGGTTTAACTTTATGAGTAAATTTAAAGAATTACTTTAATTTACTCTACTGAAAAGTTCTTGACTAAAATAAATGTAAAACACAACTGTAAAACACTTCCAATCATCTCGAGAATAAATCTTCACAAAAAAAAAAACACTTTTCATTAACTTTGTGAACTGACAAGGTGAGACCTGAACATAGTTTGTCAGCTGTAAAAACAGAAGAAACGGGACAGTTATTACAACTTTCCAGCACAACAGTTCACATTTCATTAATCAGAAACAACATATAATTTTCCAATAGCCTTATGAACTAAAGTTTGTGTCAGTCCTCTGAATGGAGCAGGGGAAGATCGTGACTGTTCACAGAAAGGAGTTCCTTTGAACACCGACAATGGCTCTTTCTGTTATCATCCAAAATATGTGACCCTGGGAGTTTAATTCGATCCTGTCATAAAATGTTACCTGCATTTTCTTAGGTGTTCTGTTTAAACTCAGAACAGTCACTTTTGGGTTCACGGGAAGGGCTTCTCAGATATTATCAAATTTACTGGGCATCTTGATGTTTTTGCATCAGTAAAAGTCTCTTTTGAACACTGTATATATAGCATAGATGTTGCAACCATCATACGTTAAGGGGATATGTCCCCCCCACATTCACATACTGTTCATTTGGACACCACACCCACACACACACACACACATTTATCATGAAACATTAGTTCATTCGGCACAGTTTCTCTTTCTTCGTGAACAACTCCATTCCACTTGATTAATAGGAGAATACTCAAAGCACTAAAAATCCACTCCAGGTTTTCCTGGTTACCTCCAACTCTACACAGCAGCCTGTAGTGTTTCTCCTCTGCGTCTCCTGCCTCGGCTGAAGGTACACAGGTGGAAGATGAGAGACACCTGTGTTGCTCACTTGCCAGCTTAAAGAGCTTAGTGCAGGCAGTTGTTGACCGGGAAGGTAAGAACATAAACATATAAACATGTTGGGATGCTTGAAGTAGAGCAGTAGAGAGAGTTGTAGTGTTCAGGTGCATTAAAGTTGAAATGTCTTTGAAACCCCACACCCTATTGTCCACAAGCTTTGTGAAAAACATCATTTAGATGAGGAGTGTTGAACACAAGTAAAACATGTCTAGCGGTGATGTTTTTAATTTTTCTATAAACAACAATCTGAGGCTGTGTGTTAAAGTGCATTAAAGTTGACACGTCGTTCAAACCCACAGATGAATGTACACAAACTTGGTGAGAAACATGCTTTAAATGTGTGGAATAAAAATAATGAAATCTAGGTGAAATGGTGATTTTTTTGTTCACTAGTGTACACTTTTTTGCCCCCCCCCCCCCCCCCCAACCCCCATTTTTCATATTTTGTATATATATATATATATATATTTTTTTTTTTTCATTTAGCCTTTATTTATCCAGGTTAGTCTCATTGAGCCACGAGAACTCATTTTCAAGAGAGACCTGTTTAGGGAGCACATTGTCGGGGTTAAGGGCCTTGCTCATGGGCCCAGAGTGGGGCGAATGAGTGTGGGGGCAAGTGTGGGTGTTTCACCTACCCCACCCACAATTTTGATGTTGTCGGGGCCGGGGCGTGAACCGGCGATCTTCGGATCACAAGCCCACCTCTCTAACCTCTGCGCCACCACTCCCCCCATATGTATATCTACAGTATATATATATATACTGTATATATACTGTATATATACTGTATATATATATATACAGTGTGGCATGGAGGCTGCACAGCTGCAGAAAGAAAAGCTTTGCAGAGAGTGGTGAAGGCTGCACAGAAATCTGTTGGAGTCAGTCTCCCCACCATCACAGACATCTACACCTCCAGATGCAGGAAGAGGGCCACCTGCATCATGAAGGACCCCACCCACCCAGCACACACACTTTTTGCCCCACTCCCCTCAGGAAGGAGGTTAAGGAGCATTAAGTGTAGAACCACTAGACTGAGGAACAGCTTCTACCCTGAGGCTGTTAGACTCATGAATCTCTAACTAGAATAATCACTGTGAAAAACCATATCATGTTGCTGCTGATCTGTTTCATGTTGCTGCTGATCTGTTTCAATGTTGATGTGTTCATGCGTGCACATCTGCTCACAGACTCATGTTCATGTTTGTGGTGATGTTCAATGTTTTATGTTATGAGTGCTTAGTGTATATTTAGTTGATGTTTTTCTTAGTTCATATCTTAGATGTTATTACTGTTTTTCTTATACATTTTATTGTTGGATGTAACTGGGACCCTGTGTACATAATTTCGCTCCACCACATGTACCACATGAGGTGCGAATGACAATAAAGAAACTCTGACTCTGACTCTGACTCTGATATATATATATATATACAATATCCCGTTTAAAAACTCACTACTATTCAGTAGCTTTAAACACAAGATGATCTGTGTTTTGATCCTGTATGCTCCACACTGGTTTGTCGTCATTATCGGCATCATTTTTTGTCTATATTCTGATTTACCTCATTTTGTATTTTGCTTTGTGTGTTACCTGTTGTTTTGTCTGTACAGCACTTTGATTGGCCTTGTTGCTGTTTTAAGTGCTTTATAAATAAAGTGGTATGGTATGGTATGGTATGGTATGGTATGGTATGGTATGGTATATATATAAAAGCAACTGTAAAAGCAATTAAAAGTAAAAATTGTTTTATAAAAACAACTAAATCAACATGCCACATAAAACAAGAGCATGCTTAGATTTTTCTAATGACCTTTTCAATTTTTTTAAAACCATTGAGGAAATCAAAGTGTGCAGCTTAAGTTCTTGTTGCAACGTGTTCCAGGTGACAGGAGCAGAGTAAGAAAAGGTATTTTTGCCAGTTTCACTCCACACTAACGTACACTGCAGGTAATAGAGGCCTGACAGCGCACGCTGTAACTGCACTGATTACGTGACAAGGACTTTGTAGGAGGAGATATAAGACAGCAGTGGTGATTTAAAGATGAAACTGTACCATTGTGAGACCAAGTACTTACTGTACATGGACTCTGAGTGTTGTAAAGACTGTTTCACTTGAGTAACTCTTATGTACTTTGTTCTTCGTTGCTCTCAGACCACAGGAACAGAGACATCAGATTGACCACAGAGCCGAGCAGCGACAAAACTTACCGGTATCTAATACTCAAGATTTGTCCAGATTTCATACATAAAATAATTGAGTCCAGCAGTGAAAAGTTAAGACAGTTGTAGTTATTTCCATAAATATTCTGAACTCGTGTTTGTACTTTAAAATTCATTTTTTGTTCATTTTTTCTAGTGAACTAATTTTGGGATGTTTATATGCCTCACACTAAGAATTTTACTGTATGTGACTTAAACTCTTGGTTTTTTTATTTTTATGAAATGTGATGGGTAATAACAGCAAATAGAAAGCTTATAAATGGCTCACAGTTGTATATTTTTAATAAAAGATTATCAAAATATGTTACTGATAATTGGTAACAAACTGAAGATCTTTTTGTTGTTGTTGCTGTTCTGGTTTTATTGAAAACAAACTGGATTTAATCAATGTGGAGAGTAGACACACGCATGAACCCTTTTCAATAAAACCAAACCAACAAAAGGATCTTCCGTTTCTTTATGTTCTGAAATGTTTTTAATCATGTGTCATAATTATTCATAATCATAATTATGTGGTTCAAATGCAAGCTATAGTATATTTATTGGACAAATTATTATCTGATTTCTGAACAGAATCCTGTCATTCTATGGTATAATGATATAAAGTTTATTCATTTTAAAAAAGTACAAAACAATTCCA